ATGGTATCTCGAACCCCAAAAACGAAAAAACGCCAATGTCAAGATGCAAATTACCGAACACCCCCTTCTAGATCCCGTCCCTAACCCATCACCCTTAACACATATCCAACCTAACCATCCCCCAACACAACCACTCGAGTCGTATCAAACAAGCAGCTCCAATCCGGATTCATCTCTTACTTCTCCCTCAGCGCCCCTCTACTGCGACTCGGACTCAACAAGTTCGCCCTAGACGCCCCATTCGTAACTGGCCTATCTGAATCTGCCTCAGCAGCAGCAGCAGCAACCGACCCAACACTCGAACCCCACGCTCCGCCCCCCTCCTCTTCCTCCTCCTCCTCCTTCGCCCTACGCTGCCGTTCCAGCTGCTGCTGCTGCTGAACTTTACTCAGCGTACTCTTCAACGCCTGATACAAGTGCTGATTATCGCTCGAATCCAAATCGACCCAAAAGGAATAAACCGGCAAGGCCTGATGATTCCTACTCCTAAACTGCTTGAGCAGATACTGTCTTGCCGATAACTCTGGATCCGACTCATTCCTTACGTAGTCTGGAAAAAGTTTTTCCAGCGGCGCATAGGCCATTTTGCTGACGAAGCGGGAGAAGTTGTTTAGAATGAGGATGATGGAGGATTTTGCGAAACCGGGTTGGTTGACCCAAGTCTCAAAGGCTTCGAATTCGTGGACGAGGATGGATTGGTTGTCGGGGAGCTGGGGGCTGGGTTTGTTATAGAGGGATACGTCGACGGTGTAGATGACGGCGGTGGCTTCGTCGAGTTGGTGGTACCAGCGCTCGCGGAAGTGCTGGGGCACGTAGCCGCGGATGTTGAAGAGGTGCACGTCTAGTTCGTCCCAGTTGAAGCGTGCTTCGTTTATGCCGCGCATGGATTGGTTGAGGCGGATGATGTCGGCTTCGCTGGGGACGTAGTCTGCGTCGGCGATGCGGGGTGCTTCTTGCGCAAAGTAAGGTGCGTATTGTGGGAAGTCGATTTCAAAGTTTCGGACGTAGAGTTTGGAGAATTCGGGGCAGGACCAGATTGTTGTGATGGCTTTGACTGCGTCGGGGGTTATGCCTTCTTTTGCTGTGTCTAGTTCGTGGAGTAGGATGGCGAAGTCGTGGTTTAGTTCTTTCGAGAGCGTGACGCCGGTGTCTTTGAGTAGGTTTGTGATTGATTGGATGAGTGAGTGTATGACTTGGTAGATTGCGGAGCGGTATTTCAACCGCTCTTCAGTCGAGTGATAGCCTTCGGTGAATAGCACTTTCAGCTGGTGCATGATGAGCTCCTTGCCGCTTTGTGTATTGCCTACGAGAACCAACTTGGTCTCATGGCGAAGGTTGGTAGCTTCTCTCTGCAAAGCGCGGTCTATCGCCTCGGAACGAGTGGCTGCTGCCATTTCCTCATTCTCTTCATCCGTAGGCGAAACGGCCCCGTCCAATCCGTCTCGCGCGAGCTTCATGTGGAACAGAAGTCTCAGCCATTGAATGAATCGCGATAGTTGTGCAAGACCAGTGATACAAGCACCATTCAAGCCTGAGGATGAGGAAAGGGTCCTGAGGTTTGCCGCATCTTCCTTTCTGATCTGGCGGCTTTTGTGGAGTAGAATCTTCCGCTGTGCTTGCGCGGTGCTGAGACGTATTAGAATCCTGGAATGACACATAAAAAGCAAATTAGTGGCTCACCAATGACATGCCGCAAGCAACAGGTTCACGGCATCGTTCTGTCTTCGCGCCACCTGTTGCAGTCGTTCCATCGATCTGATAGCGACGCGGTATTTTAATTTTGCGGCGAAATCGACGGGACCATGATCTCGGTAACCAAGACAAACATTCAAGGCATCTACATGGCGCACCAGGATCCCACAAGAATGCGTCAGTACGTCCAAATCCGATAGAAGTTGTGGATGCAGATCGTTGACAGCATAATTGAGCCAGTCTTGTATATTGCCGAGACTAGATTTCAGCGCTGTTAGTTGCGCGATGAGGTTGATGGACGAGCCATTGCCATCTTTCCAACGGTTATGGATCTGTCGCAAGCCATCAATGTCTTGTCGCAGCCGGTCCCGAATGGTGCCGATGGCGCTGATCAGCGCAAACACCCTTTTCTCATCGTCCGCCATCGCGCAGTAGCGTCGCGTCGCAAAATGATTATCGAAGATCGCTCGGGCAGCGTTGGATTGACAAAGTCAAGAAGTCGTCGAAATCAACGGCCAACGCGCGCGACACCCCGCGCATTTAGCCAGAAACGGCCAGGATTAAGGTTGGCACTTGCGGATGATTGTCACAGGTGGGAACGCGAGGATTATCAGCACCAGGTCCGCGGGTGTTGAGGGGTTATAGGGATGACCCGAAAGGACTACCGAGAAGATTCCGCGAGCTTGGGGCGCGATGGGGCGGTCTTGGTCGAGTTGCACCGCGATCAGCAAGGCGGGCTGATAGCGAGATGAACCCAAGAACAGCGGCTCAGCCTCATCGTGGAAACAGAAAAACAAGCTGTCGGTCACGGTGATCTCAACGGCGCGATAGCGCATTTCGATGCAGGGGAACGACGACGACCGAGTAGCGTGGCGGTTCCGCGTGGAAGAGGCCGGCTAATTGGGGGGCGCGTGAGCTGAGCGGCGCGGTTCGATATCAGGTACGACAACATTTCTCTCTTAGCTGCATGATAACTGTGAGTCGAGCTTACATTGTCTAGGCGTATACGAGGAAGAGTCACAGAGGGTGGCCTCGTCTTTGCTATGACTGATGACTCCCTCCAGTTGATGTGGCTAGTGCAAAAGCCTGGGGCCACCAAGCGAGAACTCTGTCGTCATCGTCTAGGACGTTCAGTTTTCCTCACCCGCAAACATGTGCCCTATAAACGCCACACAGTCACTTTGGGTTTCAAAATCAGTACAACAAACACTTCAAATATCTGAATCGTCTATGCCACTGTCATAGCCTTGGAAAGACGATAATAACAAAATGGCAGCCCTCGACACGCTGCCGAACGAGATACTCTCGCTGATAACGAACCATCTTGAACGGCCACGAGACCTACTTTACCTATCTCTAGTAAGCCGCCGGTTAAGAGAATTTGAAAAGCTCGATGGATGGAAAGCTCTGCTCAAAGGCCGCTTTGGCCTTGGTGGATTGGATCCGGACGCCTACAACGCCGTCCATGGTCTAACAACACTATGCCGGAACTGGGATCGAAGAGGCCTCATCGCAAGATACCTGGAACCAACGGAGAAGACGATGAGCATGAATACTTGGCAAGCCGAAAGATGGAGGGGGCCGCAAGGTCAGACAATGGGGTATCAACCTAGCATCGACAGCTATGAAGAGATGTATGGATCGTGGGGAGAACGAAGAGAAGTGTTAGCATGGTCTGCCGGCACGCAGATTGTTTTACGGACTAAAGAGACGGGCGCGACTATTGAAAAGATAAGAAAACGCGAAGAAGGCCTTGATCCGGCATCTGATCAGACGTGGACGTACGACGCTTTTAAGCATCTAAATACGTGGTTCACGTATAAGATCCCAGATAGCTTTGAGGGTCGCGACGACATCACCAAGATGAAGTTGCTCCGACCGCACCAGAGAGATTTGGCGTTTGAGGAAATTGTTTTCGGAACCGCATCGGGCCAGCTTTCGTTGCTTAGTGTCAGCCCTGACCTTGCTGAAACCAAGGTGCAGCAATATGACACCAATCGGCGTGGGATCAATGATCTGTCAGTGTCATCTTCGAGCTCGCCCATGCTGGCCACCGCTCTTGCGGACTCCTCACTAGCGCTCTATCCCATCGACCGCGACAACTCTTCGGATGAAACCATCAGGCCCTCTTCGGAAGTAAAAACAACATCCGATGGTGCATCGTTTGGTAGAATATGGTCATGTGAGTTCCTTTCTTCCGACACAGTCGCTGTAGGCTGGGGACCGCACACCGAGCCCATCGAAGTCTACCACATTGGACCTGAAGGCCTAAATCCCACACCCCTCCGTCGATTCAATGTCGCTCATGCACTCCATGCACATTCACGTCCGACTTCGATATACCCCATATTGCCAATGCCGAGTACAGCGCAAGGCGCATCGGAAGCAGGCCACACTTTCCTCTCCGGCGGCTACGACGGCATCATCAGACTCCACGACATGCGCTCACCTCGCGGTTTCGAGCAGATCTTCTGGGACCCAACAAACGACTCGCCGATCTATTCTTTGGCTGCGCAGGGTCTAGAGCGTATTGTAGCAGGTGTAGCTCTCCACAGCATGATCAAAGTATTCGACGTGCGCTTCTCCGGATCTCATGCTTACCACAGCATGTCTATTTCCAGGAACAAGCCCAGCCCGAAAGGAAAGGCGGCATCTTCGGATTCAGCGACCAACGTCATAGTCAATAAGACCAAGAAACATGTCCCAATAAAGAGCGGTGGCTGGAATCTCTACCTCAACCCCCGTACACCACCTCCACGTACTGCATACCGGCAAGATTATTCGCGCGTGCGAGAAGATTCCCCTGTATACAGTCTCTCTATCCCGTCATCTACATCGCAAAATCTATACGCTGGTCTCGAAGGCGCGGTTGAGGCTCTTACTTTCCACGGCATCGCGGATGCGCATCCGGATCCTATGATGTCGCACTCCCTTATCCAACGCCACGACAAGACTGCGGTTGACGTCCGCGCCTCGTATAACCCAGATGGCGGCGCGTTGAATCTGGGCATGTATGAACAAGGTACTGAGGAGGGGATCGGCATGCAGCTGTTGGTGCAAGACGGTGTTACGGATAGCGCGGTGCGGGAGGAACGTCGTGATGCGGCGAAGGCTAAAGGGTTGGATGAGCGCTGGATTGATCTCAGGGACGAGGGGGAGAGATGGGCTAGAGGTGAGGTTGTACCAAGAAGGGGGGCGCCGCGTGGACCGAGGACGGGTGGTGGTCGTGGGCGTGGAAGAGGAGGCAGGGGGAGAGGAGCAGGAAGAGGGGTTTAGGATGAGATTTGAATGATGTTACTACTGACTACCTAGACTAGATTAATCGTTCTTGCTACCGCTGTCTTCTTGAACCAAGACTTTTTCAAGTTCAGAACAACTCCAATCCTGACGTACTTTCCCACCTCTGTCTTACTGGGCTGCACTAAAAGAGCGTCGACTTGATCCGTGTTCATTATAGGATTATGGTACTCATACAACCCAAAACACATGACAGATTCCCACCCTATGGTGTTTTCCAGCTCTTCTATCATCTTATCCCTTGGCAAAGACTTCTTATGCCGATCAAACTCAAATTGAAGGCCAAAGTCGAAATATACACACGGGTCGTAAAAGCCAACGACAGGCGTCCTGAACAATGTAATCATATCGTATCTGGATACTGACCATCCGCTGAGACAGATGGTTGCATCGCGAACTTGACCGTAAGGATTGGATGTAGCTAGCTTGATGTTGAAGCTTTCCAAAGCACAGAAAGATCGAGCTGTATGGTAGTACGCATATCGAACAGGACTTATCGCGTGTGAGCTCCAGGAGAATGTGGGACCCAGAATGTTGATATCCTTCGGGTCTTCCCAACGTCTCGTCAGATCATCTTTCGGGTAGATAAACCATCCAAGTTGAATCGCGATATCTTTCTCCCAAAGGCCTGCAATGTATTTTCCAGGGTCCAGATGTTGCACGCATGCTGCTATACCTGAAAGCGCGGGAAGGGAATCTTTCCCATACGTGAGCTTCATCCGGCTGTATCGGTCCACGATCCTCGCCCAGTTTATTGTAAGTTCTCGTTCTTCCATACTCTTAGCAGCTTGCATTCTTGCAAAGTTGCTGTATCCTCCGTACTCTGGGGATCCTCCGTGCTGTGGGAATTCGTCTCCGTCTTCATTGCTAGCAGCGCCACACTCGCATTCTCTTCTAGCCTGGCACTCAAATAGGATCTCATCCGGCAGAAAGTGGATGATTCGACGGGCTAGAAACCTTTCTTGCATACACCAGCCCCGTCCATGCAATATATAATCGGTCCTCGGCTTCATACGGTGACAGAGGTGGCTTTCGATTCGTCTTGCATATACTTTTTGAGATCTCTGGCCGTGTTGCGCGTATCGAATAAGAAGGGGCTTCTTTCTTTTGTGTAAAAAGCCATTTTCACAGTCTTCGGTGGCTGTCGCTGACAAGACGACATACGCACTTGCGTATATACCGGCCATAAGAGATGCCTCGTTTGCCCAGTCTTCTTTGTCATCTTGAATGATGCAGACACGATCAATCCAGATGTATTCCAGACCCAGTCTCCTAGTGATGTGAATAGCATCCTGGAGAGTCTTTGGGAAGTCTGACGTGTTCAGCTCTTGGTAACGTTTGGTAACATTATCTTTCGTCGTTCCGGACTGCTTGCCCAGTCCCCAACGGTAAGAGAGTGCGGTGAATACCACCGGATGTTTCGGAGAGTATAGTCGAGCACCGTCATCTTCGTAACGTCCCAGCTTTATCAGGCGCGTGGGATTTGAATTGCGTTTTGGTGAAGCATGCTGATGGAACGTACAGCAGTCACTGATCCATTTCTTCATGACACTCATCGAGGCTTCCGACTCGGCAAATCTATGAACGTCTTCTGCATATCGGAAAGGCGTCTGAGGCATACACGATTCTGTTGCCAGAATTAGACACTTTTCTATACCAAGGTGCAAGACAAACCTTTGCAGTACAACTGAACATGATTCGATTCACAGTCCGACTTTGGAAAACAGATCTGGAGATTGTTCGAAGACCCGCGAGCATGAAGCTCAATGGCATCGCAACCATTGGCGAAGTGTTGCTGACATTTGCGTAGGATACCGCATAAGTCACAATCTTTGCTCAAAGATGTAACGGAAAACCAGCGCACGGAGTTATCAAAGGATCGTCTGAGATAACATGCATCACAACTGATTTTGGCCAAACCATACTCGGTATCAGACTTCGAAGCGAGTATTTCCGCCTGTTCAGCGATTTTGTCCTCGCTAGATCTTGGATAATGTCTCTTAGCAACGGATCTGCACAAAATTAGCACGGCTGGCTACAGGGTCCATGTCGCTTTACAACAACTCTGAGGGACTTCGTGAAGATGTTGTCGTATAAGTTTCATCATTAGATGGCCCTGCATTACATCTCTCATAAGAAGATGTCGCCGCGTCCATATGATCATTGCCGTTAGACATCGCCGTATCGACTTTTTCTTTTCCAGGCGACAATGAACTGGAAGTATTCGATATATGCGGATGCCACCCTTCCAAGTCATATGGCCCTTTGAAGGAGTTTGGCCGTAGTAGAGTGTACTGTTCGTCGTCTTGCAACGTGGGTAGGTAGGAAAAGCTGAACAAGTTCAGCTGACGAGGCTGGCTGCAAACCCCGCAATGTGGCGCAGTACAACCTATGTAGGCAACTACCCAGGCACATATACTTAAACTAAATGTTATCTCAGCTACCTCAGCCTGGCTGACAGCATCTCCTGATCTTCATTCTCTTGCTCTATCAAGTATCCGTTTACCCTGCACAAACGGTACTCCAGGGCGGACGTTGTTTGTTCAATAATTCCGGAAGAACTCAAAAAACATAACGAGGATATTAAGCGAAGCTACAGACCTTCCATTCGACAAATCCCACTCTCTGCTGTCATCTCGGCATCCTCTACGGTGTTTCCACCGGGTAATGGCTTCACAGTATGACAGTTTGCCAGAGTGGCAGTATTTCACCGCTTTCCATACAACTCGCAAAGCTGTATGTAAAGATTGCCCTCAGCGGCCATATATCTCTTTGAGCGTCCCCTATATTCCTGGTAACCGTGTAGTTGTCCGTAGAGCCGTATTCACTACGATATCGCACGATCAGGGATGGGCTACTTTCCGCCCTGAGTTGAACGGTACATACGAAGATACGTGGACCTACTTCGAAGTGCGGGTTGTCGACAGCACAGGTCGAGATCGGATTCCACGCGAGGTCACGACTCAAAATGTACGGGCGTCTTCTGAGCCCAAGAAACATGTCGTCTGCTGGGATTTTCGCGATGACAAGTATTGGCTACTCAGCGAAGGACACAAAGAAGCCCCTGCCTCTCATTCCGGAATCACTCCTTCGAAGTGGTTGGCTGCGCTCCAGGCTGGTGACATTATTCAGACCGTGCCCAGAGCTGAGTTTCTAGCTTGGGTCAACAACATAGTTGAAGCTCGCATTGAAATCTGGATCGAGCTATTCCCAGAGAGATCACATCCAGGAGCTGTACATGCAACGAACACCTACGAAGCATACAGGCCACTACAGATTGCGTCAAAGGAAATCCGTTTGGTCAACATCGAGCCAAGTAACAATCACTCCGGCTTAGATGAAGAGGAGCCGCCGCATTTGACATTGAAATATACCAATCTGGGGGGCCCAAATCATGACCAGTATGAGACGCTCTCATACTGCTGGGGAGACCGTTTGAGTACAAGTCCTATCTTTTTAAGGAGCTCTGAAGAGTCTCCTCCAAGAGAAGTTCAAATTGGCACGGACTTACGAAATGCACTCAAACGTTTGAGACAACCCGATCAGACTCGCACATTTTGGATAGACTTACTGTGTATCAACCAACTCGACCCAGAAGAAAGGAGTCACCAAGTTGCGCTTATGGGTGAGATATACGCTTCTGCGAAATCGTTATCGGTCTGGCTGGGTGAACTAGAGGACGGCCACTTTCATACGCAAAGCGATTTGGCTGTTTGGCAGACCATCGCTACAACATCCGAAAAGAATCCGGCCGAATCGCATGGTAATGCCGGTCTCTGGCACGATCGAGTCTTTCTTCGGCCCTGGTTCCAGCGTGTCTGGGTAGTCCAAGAGGTGTGGAATACGTTATCATCTCGTTTGAATCAGGATAACGACAAGTGTGGCCCTATATCCGTTCTTTGCGGTCACTTAAAGCTGCCATGGTGGTTGGTTGTTCAGGCCAACATCTGCCTGTTTCATAACTTCCCGTCACGAAGGAATTGGTCGATGCCAGTGTTATGGACAGAGCTTTTAAATGTTACCAGAGACAGGCATACTCCACACCACGTTGCAGCTGGACCCCGTCTGGACATACTTTCGATTGTGATAAAAGGCTTAGACATGAAGGCAACAGATCCGCGAGATCGCATATTTGCGCTGTTGGTTTTCGGTCGGGAGACATATCGCATTGCAGAACTGGATGAACTATTGAGGCCTGATTACGCAAAGACCGTTGAGCAAGTTTATACCAATTTCACCATATGGTGGATCAAACAGAATCACTCTTTGAGGATCCTTTCAGCGGTTCATACATTGCGTCACCGAACCTGGATGGACCTTTCTGATGTCGCCTCGCACGATACGCACTCAAATAGCTGGCTTGGTACTCCGCGTCGGCCGTCATGGACTCTATGGACTGATGGAAATAGCCGTTGGGAGCGTGGAACACTTGCATTAGGTGAAACAGCTGGTTACAGCGCATGTGGCAATCATCAAGTCGACATGACTATTGAGAATCGAGACGACATCGAATGGTCTATTCCTGCATTCAAAGGGATTCAGATCAGCTCAATCGCCTTATTTGCGCCGGTCTTGTTATCAGACTCGGTCTTAGCTCGATCACGCGATATGCTCAAGGCTTACTTACGAGTATTCGATCCCACAGGTCATCAATTGACGTGGGATAACTCTACAGGGGCTCCCAAAGAAGCACTTGATATCTCCTGGGCTGAGTTGCTTGATGAGTACTTACGTCCACATGTAAGAATACATTTGGACAAGGATCTGCAAGATCCAGTCATGCTACCATGCATCCAGGAATGCGTATTCGAAACAGAAAGCGGAGGGAAAGGGCTATGCCCTGCGCCGGCACGCAGAGGTGATCTAGTAGTGATATTGTATGGAGGAGCAGTGCCATTTTTACTTAGACCGACAGATTCCCCAAGTTTCTACACGTTTGTAGGAGAATGTTACCTTGAAGGTTTCATGAAAGGCGAGGCGTTTGCTTCGGAAGGCCACGCCTTCGAAGAGAATATTTTCAGACTAGTCTAAGGGGACTGATGCGATTCTACACGCTGGCCAGCATAGGTAGCGTGGCATCGATGTGCAGAGATCAAGGGCGATGGAAGGAGGCGGATGAGCTTGAGGTGCAAGTAACGGAAATATTCAAGAGGGTGCTTGGGGAGAACTAGAGACGGCTTTTCATCACAACGCAAACTTGCTGACCTCTTCTAGTCATGTTTGGAAAATCATCAAAGTTTCTTGTCTACTCTGATCATACATCGCTGCGTCTCACACCGTCATACCCCTGCGTCTCTCCGCTCTTCCCATGTACAGATTCCCTCACATAGTCTTCTTCGATTGTCATGTCCACCGTCTTTGTAATACCGTCCACACCTAATATCGATTCCTCGCTCGTATTGCGCGTACCGCCTACTGGTACCTTGCTAGTCCTGTTGCCCCCGCCGAACGAGTAGAGCTCCATTTGTCCGTTCGAACGTGTTCTAGCTGTGCGACTAAACATCTTGCTGTTTTGGCCGCCATGTCCGTAAGAAGCTGGGTAGCCTGGGCCGGAGCGGTCGTGCGAGGACGAGGTAAAGGCTTTGTTGAGGAGTGGGCGGAGGGCGGGTGCTGAAGCGGATATTATAGCAGCGTTTATCTCGATTTGGGAGAGAAGGAGGATAAATATGTCGTCGTAAGGTGGGTCGTCTGTTACAGCGTATACCCAGAGGGCGTAGAGACGGACAATAGACGCGATGACTGCTATACCTCCGACCATGAAGACACCGAAGAGCGCAATACGCTTTGTTCGTTGGAGTTTTAGCTGCCCAAAAGCTCGCATTGGCATGGCTAGGATGAAGATGTCTGTGAGGATGTTGACAGAGGCCATCGAGAAATACGTCTTAGGAAGGTCGTTGCATCCTTTGGGAAAGGTAGGGACCCATGCTCTCCATGGCTCTTTCGCGCCGCATTCGAAAGCCTGGATCAGTCAGCTTCGAGCTCGAGGAAATGCTGGGGTTTCGCGTATGACATACGTTGACGAAAGTGACTACGATGGTCTGAACTGTGACGAACACACTAACGGCGTATACAGCGTAGCGGAAATTCGTTTGCGTGAAGATCCGGTAGTAGAGTGCCAGTATGCTAGCTTTGACGAATAACAACGCCCAAGGGTAAACTAGCTGATATGCATACCAGTGTTTGAACGTAGGGACCATAATGATCGAATGATCTAAATCGGCGTTGTGTCGCCTTGGTCTTCCGTCAGTCGCTGTCAGTCTTTCTACCACATGAATACATACCCAGTTCCCCAGCTGACAAGAAAACCATTCTGAATACCGAGTGAGATTGCGACCACCCACGCACAAATCATGAACTTGTCGTCTAATCCTACATATCGTATGAAGGTGAGGCGACAGTACAGCCTAGCAGATAGTGAGCAAGTCTTGCGGTGAGTAAACAAATCAAGGTTTCGAAAGGTCGTACCTTAGCGCTACAGCGATGGTCGAGAAGAATAGGAGAACTCCAGTGACGATCAGAAACATAGGCTGTCGCGAACCATTGTCCCAGGTGATACCATAGCCACCCGTGCTGCTCGTCATACTGTCGGAATACACTCACATCAGGATCACAAGGGATTCACAAAGAGATCATGGCAACATCTTGGCTATGAATGATTCTTGCTCCTCCTTGAAGCTTGACCACCCGCGCCGCATAGCATCATGATCCAGCACTTTGGGCAGCTTCATCTTGTGAATCCTTCTTGTTATTATCCTGCCGTGTGTCCAACAGGACCGCGAATGCGCGGGTAAAGTCTCCTGGGGACGGCTGGCATCTCCGAGCCATCATTGGATAACCAACACGGGCTAAACGCTGAGGAAGGGCGAAGGATTCGCGCGTTCGGTGCAGTCGTCCTGGTTGGGTCGCGAAGTGTTGGAGTTGGTGCGGCTCTTCGCTTTGAGTAGTCTAGTTTCCCTCGGTTATCGCCTGGACGGCTCGACAACTCCCCCGTTCCCCAGCCGAGCCGGCACCCAGACGGACAAAGCCAGCTCCTAGACTCGATCTTTTGCGCGAACATAGGAGAAAATTTCTCGAAGTCTCGAGTCGTTAGTTTTATGTGCATTATCGCATCACCATATTATAGGATGCTGGAAAACCAGAGTACCTAGGTATGGCTTCGCGGTCATGCGCACACACGACGAACGCAAATTCGGTAAACTGACAGCTCCGCAATAAAGGAACGCTCCGGTGTCCACTGCGCCATGATCCCGCAGGAGCTATGTGCCGTGTTTGCCTCTCCTCCCATCTCATCCTATTCGCCACAGTTGACCCTGTGTTTTCCCGTCAATCGCTGGTTTAGACCATCAGGAACACGTTAGACACGGCCCAGAAACCAGCAGGATCTTAGCGCGAAAGCGGGTCAACCTGTCCCGCAAGCTCTCCCGTCCCCACGACAAATATCTCACAGCCTCGCCTTCTGCATTGCCGACCAGAGCGGTGTGGGGGAGTTTTATTTCGGCCGTTCAGATTTCATGGTCATTGCGACACGTTAATCACGATGAATGAATGAAGGAAGCGCATATGAGAGGTAACATTTACATGCCCTGCTCTAGGATTGCGGTCAATCCATTCTTAGCCATGCAAGGTAAATCCTACAGGAATCTCTAGACCGACCCACCGGGCGCAATCATCCGAAATCATCCTATCCTCTAATCACCAGCCATGCGAAAATTGTGCAGGCTATTGCTACGGAGATCAATACGCGTTTGGTCATATCATCACCGTGGCACAGCAGAATACGCAGGTAAGCATGCAAGGAGAACTTCGATGCGAATTAGGTTCATGCGCATGGAATACTCGCAGACCAATTACCGTTGCATGTGCGCCACATAGAAGCCATGGCTTATTACCAAAATCGCCGGTAAGCGTGCGTCTACCGGAATATGCATACCGAAGCGCTTCGCACGTGTTGCATCCCCCGAACTCAATCCTTCGGACCCAAGGCAACTCGAAAGACCATGCAGCTGTGCCACACAACCGCATCCCTCCTGAATCGCCATGCATACAAGCTTTTTCCAGACCCGGACCTCGCCCCAAATACTACGGCAAGTGGTCTAATGCCTCAACACTTATTTCCGTTCGTTACTCATCCCTTCGTGGCTCGGACTTTAGTTGCATGGTCATCTTTCGATGAGGCTCAGACGGGTAAAGTGGGTATGATAAGGCCTGTAGTGAGGCACACATAAAGCTTGATGCCTTCCACAGTCACAATCACCAGCCAGGGACAATAAGCTTTCGCCTTCAATCAATCCGAAACACAAAGCTGCCAACCTCATCCTTAGCCGCCAAAATGGTCAACCTTTCCATTCTCGTTTCCTCGCTCTGCTTGGCTTCGTCAGCAGTAGCCGCGGCTCTCCCTGCCTCTGCACCCAAGACTTGCAAGAACCCCATTGTACGAAAAGAATGGTAAGTCTATCACATGAATGAATCATCGTCTCGGACTATGCTGACCATTTTCCTTCTGCAGGAAGCAACTCTCTATCCCCCAGAAGAGAGCGTATATTGATGCTGTCCTCTGCCTAGCATCAAAGCCAGCCATCTCTGGCATCGAGGGAGCCATAAACCGTTTCGACGACTTCCAAGCCGTGCACAGCAGCCAGACACCCGACATCCACTGGGTCGGTCACTTCACCCTCTGGCACCGCTATTTCATCTATACCTATGAAAAGGCACTTAGGGAAGAGTGCGGTTACACTGGTGCTCAACCCTACTGGAACTGGTCTCTAGATGCTGAACCTCAAAATCCCACCTCAACACGTATCTTTGACTCTGAGATCTGGCAAGCAGACACTGGATTCGGTGGCAACGGCAACAAGGTTGAGCCCACTAATGAGACAAACCCCTTCGGTATCGTTGGCGGAACAGGAGGCGGCTGCGTACAAAATGGACCTTTCACAGCGGACAAGTTCTCAGTCAACTTCCCCACTCCCCACTGTCTCAAGCGCGATTTCGTCCCTACTCTGATCAACGTCTGGGCGGACCAGAAGCTCGTCAACAACGTCCTCGCCCAGAAGGACTACACTGGCTTTGCCAGGGCTGTTGAAGGCGAGGCCAGCTTCGCCGTTCCTAACATCCACGGAAGCGGTCACTTCGGTGTCGGAGGTGCTCTCGGACAGGCTGGTGATGCGAACAATAGCCCCGGTGAGCCGGTATTCTACCTCCACCATGGCAACATCGACCACATCTTCTGGATGTGGCAACAGAAGGATCTCAAAACCCGCCTGCACCAGGTCGGTGGCCCGATCATTCCTTTCGACTACAGTGGTAAAAATGTCACCCTTGACTTTGAAGTTGGCCTTGGTAAGCTTGCGCCTACTGTTCAGCTCAAGGATTTGTTGGATACTCAGGGAAGCACCCTGTGCTACACCTACTAGAAAGGTGCATATATCTTGCATCCGTCTTAATAAACCCTGATGTTCATACGCATGTGTCTATCTTTTTCCCTAGTGAAGACGTCGGCAAATGGAACCAGCTACGCCAGATTCAGTTTACCCTCACGCTCATAGATCTCGGCTACCATATCTTCCCACCATGGCTCGGCATTGGGATCAATTTTCGTAATGTCAGACATGTCCAAACCCGCTGCTTCCGATGGCCCGTGGCGTGCATCGAGCCAGTTCCATATATACTGTACAGTACGCCATACTGGCGGAACGTTCTAGTGACGTCAGTTTGTGCGATATTGAAGCCATCTTACATGACGTGACTCACTCCTCTAGTCCCATGACAAAGCTCTTCAAACCAAGTCTGGACTATATCACGATGTCGTGGTTCTACTGCAACTATTGCGGCCACGAATACGCGCCCTTGCGCATGATTGCGAGTAAAGAAAGGGCCAGAAGTAGACATATGACTGACGATCTGTAGAAGTTGGTCGACAATCAGCTGAACGTGTGGATGTCTTCTGGATTTCCTCATGAGACGACAGTAAAGGTAGATCTGCGCCGCTGCCACATAACTCTCCGCTAGGAGCTCGGTCGTCTTGACAGCGGTAGAGACCTTGCCGTTCTCATCCAGTTCGCAGGAATCTAAAAGAGCTTGACGGTTGGGGTAGCCTTCTGACAGATCGGAGTGGTGCTGGAAGTTCTGTAGGCGCTCTCCAATAACCCTGCCCAGATTGCGCGCCGCAATCCTATTCGGATCCTATGGAGTATTTATTAGTCTACCGAAGAACACGATCAAGTGTGTTGTGTACCTTGTATAGCTTGGTGGAGAGATGAGTTATTTGCGCAAAAGTGTGCAGGAGCTTCGGACTGAGTGCAGTACTGCCCACAATCTTGTGTTGCTCACGTTCATCTCCCTCTAGCAGCCAAGTAAAAGAGCAGTTCGCCTGAAACTCATCTAGTGGACAAGCTATAGCGCTCATGATGTTGTATTGTGCGAGCCTGTTCCCCAGCGTAATGCGAGCTCTGGAGCACTGTACATTGCTAGCTGAATGGTAATTGTAAAGTGGATCTGACATGTCCAGAACCTGTTCCGCAAGCTGAGTAGCTTTGTACCAGGGTGGACACTCGTTACCAGAGTTAGTAGCCTCCCAGTTGACATTCTGTCGAATGTCAGGTGTCTTTGTTCTTAGTGTCATGAACGATAACCAACCTCGTTGTGGCCGAACAAAAGCATGGCGGCGATGACTGCATTCTCTTTGCCAGGCTTGCATCTTTCCGTGTCATGGAGCTCTTTGTCAAGTTGAAGGACCGATCGTTTCCAGTGCAGATTCGCCGAAGCCTTCACTTTTTCCTCCCCCGAGTAGTCCAGTATGTAGGTTGCCGCCAGCGCCAGGATTGCATGCTTCACACAGTCACTCTTGACGGCTATTGGGATGATCTCATGAAGGTAACAGTTATCGGCCGGGATAACGGTGGTAGCTCCACAAATGGCGATGCGGTCTACTATGTATTAGCGGAGCTCCATATGAATGTTGACTACCTTACAGAATTCGAACAGCTTCTCGTCCATCCCAGCAAGCTTTAGTCCCCGTCCAAAATCTGGGGGTAGACGCGCTAATCCATCCCTTATGTCTTGGTCGATCAAAGGCACTACATGTGTTGGTTTCTTCCAGGGGAACTTTTGCATACGTGCAGCAGGGAACTTCTGTTGATATCTGCTTAGATTCAAGCGAACTTTGATTAGGCCGTTGAGTAATCCATCTTCTGGTATAGCTACTGGCGCTGCATAACGCCGAAGCCGGGGATGGAGAATAGTCGCAGGATCATTGAATGGATTGACGATTATCGGCGCGCATGAACGTGCGGGTAATTGGAGTATGTCGGGACCGAGCTCAGGGAAATTGGTCAGAAGCCATTGCGGGTCGCTCGCCTCACCAAGCGGCGATAGACATGCTATAAGAGCGTTAGTGATTTGTTAGACATAGCGGTAACCATGTTCCGCAGTATCCGTGATGTTTCCATGTGCGAAGGATGCAGCTCTGCCCAAACGGAGGGGATCTTACGTCGCTTGCGTGATGCGGTAGAAGGATTCTCATCACTGTTGAGAGGTGAGTCTTCGATGGACACGGGAATAAAGACATCCTGCCACTGATCAT